AACGTCTAAAAGGCAAATATGCGAGGCACGCCAGTTCCGTAAAGGGCGTTGTTGAAGAAAAAGAAAAATGTAGCGGGTCCTGGTCTGTCTCAAATGAGTCATGCAAAACTTCAATAGAAAGTTGTTGCCACGTCAGTAATGGAGACATCAAAAGCATTCCGAAAATCTATGGTGGAGCATTTTATTTCTCTTTACTTGATCTCTGCTGTTTAAAATTATTTCCAAAATTACCCGGTCCCTATATTTCTGGGTTTGTTCCAGAACTGTTTGAGACCAAGAACATTTATATGGAAATCATTAATATGTTTCAAAACTTACTAACCGTCGTCAAAAGGTGGCATTTGTTTTCTACAGATGAATTTATTCGGCTACAGACTAAAGACCAGTGTTATTTCGCTTTCAGTGAGTTTGGAACTGAGACAACGTTAACTGGAAAATGCATGCATGTTAATGAAGACAGCTATCTAGAGTGGTGGAAGTCTACTTTGACGGTTTCTAATTTTAAAAATTGCTTTTAGAAAGTAAAACGTCAAGTTTTGGTTTGGACCTTTTCGCGATGACAAACTCCCAAAATTATTCGAATACGGCATTATTTTTCTAACAATTAGGAAAAAAGAACAAAGGGCTGGTGGTGTTGTGCCTTAGGTACAAGCACTGTATAAATTAACACTCAAAGGATTAACAGATCAATCAGGGGCACCCAACGTCAATTTTCGGAAAATATCTGTTCGGAAGACGAATTGAGATCTAGAACTTTCGGAACATTTGTCGTAAAATTCTTGCTTGCCTGCCCCTCCGAGGATTTTCGAACACCTAAAAAATGGTTTAATTGCCTATTTTTAACGGATTTTTAGCCTTAAAAGGTCACCTAGAATTTTCTGGAGCCTTTTTTCTGGCTGAAATTTTCGAAAAAGAAAGTTTTGATCCCTATAATTTTCGGATCACGAGACTTTCAGCTAGGAAATCCGAACAGATGAAAACTTCTTAAAGGATAAAAATACGCCTATATCTACCGTTTAACTACTTTTCTAAAATACGTTTAACAATACTATATGTTTAAGTAGTTTTGAACTAATATTATTCTCGTTGGGTGCCCCTGATGAATGATGTACTGGTTTAAATGATCTATAATATCAGTTGGGTCAGATTTTTAAAAACACTTTATAACTTGTTGTTCGCTGTCCCTCAAGTTTTGTGTTTCCAACAGTGAGTGCCTATACAGCTAAACAACCAGTGCCCGTGATCATTGAGGCATTTTTCGTATAATTATCATGTGCAGATTCTTTCGTTCTCTCTTCAGCCGGTAATTCATACTACTAGCTATTTACTACTGGGAATCTTCCCTGTACAGCGATCAACAGGCTTGTGCTTGTCCAAATCGCTATCGGCAATGCAGTAACAATTGCAACAATTAAGTACCCTTCCATTACCTTCGCCAGACTGCCATAATTGGCCTTTTCTGATATCGAGTCTCGATAGCTATACTTAAAATGGTGAAGAACCACTCTATAACCAGTGGAACCGCTGCGGCGATCACTCCAGTAATGTCTTGTTCTCCGTGTAAAAATATTGATGTAAGTGAAGAAAGCCGTTCAGGGAGATAACAGCGCCTACTTCATACAGCATACTCATTATGGCAATATCTGTTGCTAATCTTTCACGTCGACTACGGTTCGAAAACTTCCCTTCCGTTCTTCAAAGCAGAAGAACTAATTTATCATGTGTCAATCAGTTTTAATCCAAACATTTTTCTATGCTGTAAATAAAAATGTGCTTATTGAAACAATTTGTCAATGCAAACTCAAACTGACGGCTACGAGACTTATACTTCTGACTATAAATGGCTAAATGGCTTTTCGCAGTAGTCTTTAACAGCTGAAAATCGTCCCTCGATAGCAATGACCAGACGTTCACTTGCCCATAAAGCTATCACAAATGTATTTAATGTAGCAGCTATTAAGTGTCTTTTCCATTGCCTTCGCCAGACTGCCAGAATTGGCCTGTTCTGATACCGAGTCTCGATAGCTATACTTAAACACGTGAAGAACCATTCTATAACCAGTGGAACTGTTGAAGTGATCGCAAACGACTGAAGTAATTGCGGTACTGTTTTGCCATCCGTGTAAAAATATTCATGCAAGTGAAGAAAGCCGCTCACGGAGGTAACAGCGCTTGCTTCACATAACATACTCATTATGGCAATATCCGTTGCTAATCTTTCACGTCGAGCGGTTCGAAAACTTCCCCAAGAAAGTCGTCTTCTTTCATACAACTGATGGTAAATGTAGTCTATCAAGACTATCATGCTCCTTTCTATAACCTCTGCAACGCCATGGATGACTCCGATCAAAGCCACTGCTTTCAAACTATGAATGATGAATTTATAAGGCTACAACTAAAGACCAGCTGTTATTTCGTTTTCAGTGAGTTTAGACTGACTGAGACAACTGGAAAATGATAGTCCCTTAGTAAAGGAGGTTTCAAGACAGCTATCGAAGAGTGGGTGGAAGTCTACTTTGACGGTTTCTAATGAAAAATTTGGCATTTTGGTGGTAAAACGTCCAGGTTTGGACCTTTCGGCGATTTATAGCAAACTCCTTAAAGTATTCGAATAGGGCTTCCATTATTTTTCTAACAATTAGGAACTGAAAACGAACAAAGGGATCTTCGTGTTACACCTGAGGTCCGTGATGCACTCAAAGGATTAACCGACGAATGAAGCACTGGTTATGATCTGATATCAGTTGGGTCAGTTATTTAAAAAAAAAAAAAAAACAGTTTTAAAAAATTTTAAATTTTTTTCGCTGTCCCGCGATTTTTGTGTTTCCAACAGTGAGTGCCCGTCCACCCAAACAACCAGTGTCCTTGATCGTTGCGGCATTTTTCGTATAATTATCATGTGCAGTTCCTGTCGTCTCTTTTTAGCTATAGACGAGTAAACGGTAATTCGCAGTAGCTTTTTCCTTCGGGGAATCTTCCCTGTACAGCAATAAACAGGCTTGTGCTTGTCCAAATTGCTATTGCCAATGCATTTACAATTGCAACTATAAAGTGCCTTTTCCATTGCCTTCGCCAGACCGCCATAATTGGCCTGTTCTGATATCGAGTCTCGATAGCTATACTTAAACACGTGAAGAACCACTCTATAACCAGTGGAACTGCTGTAGTGATCACAAACGACTGAAATAATACCAGTAGTGTCTTGTCCTCGGTGTAAAAATATTGATGCAAGTGAAGAAAGCCGTTCACAGAAATAACAGCGCTTGCTTCAGACTGCATACTCATTATGGCAATATCTGTTGCTAATCTCTCACGTCGAGCGGTTCGAAAACTTTCCCAAGAAAGTCGCCTTCTTTCATAAATCTGATGGTAAATGTAGTCAATCAAGACTATAACACTTCTTTCTATAACCTCTGCAACGCCGTGGATGACTCCGATTAAAGCCACTGCTTTCAAAATATTCAGATCCACTTGAAGAAGCCTTAGCGCCACAGCAGACCCATAATACAGTGGTGCTAGGAATACAAAGGTTTTTCCCGGGTGACTTATCCTCCATAAACGCTGCAAAAATAGGCGCGAAGATCCTTTCAGAAGAACTGTAATGAGAGGAGTGAACACAGCGATATAGATTTTGCCTGTTTTGTCTTGCTTATCATACGCTGGATAGATGAAGCCAGAAAACAGTATACCTACAATAAATGGAAAAGCTCTCGACCCTGTCATCCAAACAAACGTTGTCAGTTTTCTCGATCCAACAGCTCGGAAAAATCGCCTTGCAAGAACCCAACATTGCACGCCTAAACTGAAAAAAATTAGCACATTTGTTGGGACTATTTGCAAAAGCGTTAATTCGGATCGGGAAATACCGAGGGCCTGAAGGGCAATGCGACTAGCAACATCTAAAACGTAGAAAACGAAAGATACCAGGAAAAGTTTTCTTTTCAGTCCCACGATTTGATGCGATTTAAAGTAAAACAGAGTATTGATAAAAAAACGAAGATGAAAAAAAATGATTTCCATGCACTCAGAAATGGTTTTCGACCATTGGATTTTCAACGGTATGGAGTCCTTCGATCGACCCAGGCAAACTAAAGTGACTTGATAGGCAACGTAATACACAATGATAGATAACGTTCCAATCAGGGCTGCAGCCAACACAGAAATCAGAAATCCAAAGTACAACGAATTCCAAAGAGAATATATTAGCGATGGTCTGAGTTGTTTCCACTCCATCGCTCTATTTTTTGGTTTATCCTGCGCATCCTCTTCAAGTTGATCTTCTGAAGAGCAGGCATTTCTAAGCCTTGCCTGACCATACTCTTGGGAAATAAACTCCTCATCGGAATCGATGTTCCATTCAAAGCCTGTTCTTTCTCGGGGATTGAGACTAAATAACTCTGGATTAGACTCGTTGTCATTTGGGTTGTAATGTTCAGCAACACTGCGAGTTAGTCCAAAAATTATTCTTCCGCACACTTCAACAAGAGAACTTCCAACCATAACTACAGCCAAGATGTTTAGATTGACCTATTCTCGATGGAGCTTTTTACCGTTTTAATGACCACTGAACCTGATGTCTAAGTCCTGATGTCTTATGTTAGTTTTATGGCAGCTATATGTTGGCGCTGTAGACCGCTCTCAAACAGAGGGGGCAACATTTCCAAGAGCGAATGCTAGTTGATGTCGAGTGTTACTGGTTTTATACATCCGGTTTAAGAACGGTTACATGCTCCTACTTTAAGTTCTAAAATTACCCGGTACCTAATGCTGCCGGGTTGGTTCCAGTATAATATTTTAGACCTAGAACGTTTGTATGAAAAATGAAATCATTAAGATGTTTCGAAACTTATTAAACGTCGTCTTAAAAAGTGATAATTATTTTAATTTCTACAGTTGAATTTATACGGCTACAGACTAACGACAAGGGTTATTGCGTTATTTCGTTTTCAGTGAGGTTAGCATGAACTGAGACAATTGGAAAATGATAGTCCCTTATTAAAGGACGTAATCCATTTCTAAGTCCTGGTGTCCTATATTAGTTTTCCGGCAGCCATACGTTGGCGCTGTAGGACGCTCTCAAACAGTGGGTAAACATTTCCAAAAGCAAATGCTCGCCTGTCGAGTGTTGCTGGTTCTATACATGCGCTTTAAGCAAGGTTATCTACTCCTTCTCAAATTTAAGGCAGCATACATTGTACATTATTATTATTCATTCAAAATATTTCCCTGTTTCTGATTGGTTAAGACCACACGGCGCCTTATTGCACTATAACCAGCTACCGTTGATCAAATTTGGAAAGAATTTTGTCATAGTGACCGAGGATGTCAAAATGACGTCAAAAGTGCAAACGGATGACATCTGCTATTTCGAGTATATTTGAAGACCTGAACAGCCTTTGCTTTGACCAGGATCGATCGAAAACTGTGCTACGTACGTGGTGATCGATTTGTGTTTTCTACTCAGCGGCAGGAATCCAGGTTTCTAACCATTTTACTGAAGCTAACCCAGCACTCTGTGTTTTTATAGATAACGGCAATTCAAGCAGTCGAAAGCAATTTCGTCCACTGGACTTTTTCCTTGGATTCTAAAAAAGCTTCCGAACGTATTTAGTTTTAGTATTCTGCTTTAGCCCCCCTGTAAGGGAATCCGGATTCCAAGAAATTTTTGCTTGTGGAATCAGGAATCCTGGGCATTGGAAACGAAATACAGCTCAAGGAATCCGCAATCCTTCTAAAGATTGGAATCCAGTACCTGAGAATCCGGAATCCACGGCGTGGAATCCAGAATCCAAGACTATCTTGAATTCCCTGATGGGGCGACTGCTCATATTTTCCTGACCTAAAAGGGTTCTAAAGGCTAGGTTTGTGTGCAGTTAGGATATCTTTTTTGGTTGACAATTCAACGAGTTAATTTATCGGAAATTTCAATAATTGAAATTCCTTTCCAGTACAAATTTACTATATTTGAATTAATGCACAATATAGAAAGTTTTTAAAATTCTTTTCCAAACTCCCTTTAACGTGCTTTTATTTTTCAGTTTTTATTTCCAAAAAAACCCTTTTTCTAGCCAATGTCAAACGTCTTAAAGGCAAATATGCGAGGCACGCCAGTTCCGTAAAGGGCGTTGTTGAAGAAAAAGAAAAATGTAGCGGGTCCTGGTCTGTCTCAAATGAGTCATGCAAAACTTCAATAGAAAGTTGTTGCCACGTCAGTAATGGAGACATCAAAAAGCATTCCGAAAATCTATGGTGGAGCATTTTATTTCTCTTTACTTGATCTCTGCTGTTTAAAATTATTTCCAAAATTACCCGGTCCCTATATTTCTGGGTTTGTTCCAGAACTGTTTGAGACCAAGAACATTTATATGGAAATCATTAATATGTTTCAAAACTTACTAACCGTCGTCAAAAGGTGGCATTTGTTTTCTACAGATGAATTTATTCGGCTACAGACTAAAGACCAGTGTTATTTCGCTTTCAGTGAGTTTGGAACTGAGACAACGTTAACTGGAAAATGCATGCATGTTAATGAAGACAGCTATCTAGAGTGGTGGAAGTCTACTTTGACGGTTTCTAATTTTAAAAATTGCTTTTAGAAAGTAAAACGTCAAGTTTTGGTTTGGACCTTTTCGCGATGGCAAACTCCCTAAATTATTCGAATACGGCGTTATTTTTCTAACAATTAGGAAAAAAGAACAAAGGGCTGGTGGTGTTGTGCCTTAGGTACAAGCACTGTATAAATTAACACTCAAAGGATTAACAGATCAATCAGGGGCACCCAACGTCAATTTTCGGAAAATATCTGTTCGGAAGACGAATTGAGATCTAGAACTTTCGGAACATTTGTCGTAAAATTCTTGCTTGCCTGCCCCTCCGAGGATTTTCGAACATCTAAAAAATGGTTTAATTGCCTATTTTTGACGGATTTTTAGCCTTAAAAGGTCGCCTAGAATTTTCTGGAACCTTTTTTCTGGCTGAAATTTTCGAAAAAGAAAGTTTTGATCCCTATAATTTTCGGATCACGAGACTTTCAGCTAGGAAATCTGAACAGATGAAAACTTCTTAAAGGATAAAAATACGCCTATATCTACCGTTTAACTACTTTTCTAAAATACGTTTAACAATACTATATGTTTAAGTAGTTTTGAACTAATATTATTCTCGTTGGGTGCCCCTGATGAATGATGTACTTGTTTAAATGATCTATAATATCAGCTAGGTCAGATTTTTAAAAACGCTTTATAACTTGTTGTTCGCTGTCCCTCAAGTTTTGTGTTTCCAACAGTGAGTGCCTATACAGCTAAACAACCAGTGCCCGTGATCATTGAGGCATTTTTCGTATAATTATCATGTGCAGATTCTTTCGTTCTCTCTTCAGCCGGTAATTCATACTACTAGCTATTTACTACTGGGAATCTTCCCTGTACAGCGATCAACAGGCTTGTGCTTGTCCAAATCGCTATCGGCAATGCAGTAACAATTGCAACAATTAAGTACCCTTTCCATTACCTTCGCCAGACTGCCATAATTGGCCTGTTCTGATATCGAGTCTCGATAGCTATACTTAAAATGGTGAAGAACCACTCTATAACCAGTGGAACCGCTGCGGCGATCACTCCAGTAATGTCTTGTTCTCCGTGTAAAAATATTGATGCAAGTGAAGAAAGCCGTTCACAAAGATAACAGCGCCTACTCATTATGGTAGTATCTGTTGCTAATCTTTCACGTCGACTGCGGTTCGAAAACTTCCCTTCCGTTCTTCAAAGCAGAAGAACTAATTTATCATGTGTCAATCAGTTTTAATCCAAACATTTTTCTATGCTGTAAATAAAAATGTGCTTATTGAAACAATTCGTCAATGCAAACTCAAACTGACGGCTACGAGACTTATACTTCTGACTATAAATGGCTAAATGGCTTTTCGCAGTAGTCTCAGTAACAGCTGGAAATCGTCCCTCGATAGCAATGACCAGACGTTCACTTGCCCATAAAGCTATCACAAATGTATTTAATGTAGCAACTATTAAGTGCCTTTTCCATTGCCTTCGCCAGACTGCCAGAATTGGCCTGTTCTGATACCGAGTCTCGATAGCTATACTTAAACACGTGAAGAACCATTCTATAACCAGTGGAACTGTTGAAGTGATCGCAAACGACTGAAGTAATTGCGGTACTGTTTTGCCATCCGTGTAAAAATATTCATGCAAGTGAAGAAAGCCGCTCACGGAGATAACAGCGCTTGCTTCACATAACATACTCATTATGGCAATATCCGTTGCTAATCTTTCACGTCGAGCGGTTCGAAAACTTCCCCAAGAAAGTCGTCTTCTTTCATACAACTGATGGTAAATGTAGTCTATCAAGACTATAATGCTCCTTTCTATAACCTCTGCAACGCCATGGATGACTCCGATCAAAGCCACTGCTTTCAAACTATCCAGATCCACTTGAAGAAGCCTTAGCATCACGGCAGACCCATAATACAGTGGTACTAGAAATACAAAGGTTTTTCCGGGATGACTAATCCTCCATAAACGCTGCATGAGGAGGCGAGAAGATCCTTTTAGAACAACTGCAATAAGAGGAGTGAACACAGCGATATAGATTTTGCCTGTTTTGCCTTGCTTGTCATACGCTGGATATATGAAGTTAGAAACTAGTACAGCTACAATAAATGGAAATGCACTCGACCCTATCATCCAAAGAAACGTTGTCAATTTTCTCGCTCCGACAGCTCGGGAAAATCGCCTCGCAAGAACCAAAGATTGCACGCCGAAACTGAAAAGAAATAGCACATTTGCCGGGACTGTTTGCAAAGGAGTTAATTCAGATCGGGAAATACCGACGGCCTGGAGAGAAATGCGATAAGCAGCGTCTAAAACGTAGAAAACGGAAGATACCAGGATAAGTTGTCTTTTCAATCCGTTGATTTGATGTGGTTTAAAGTAAAACAGAGTATTAACAAAAAACCAAAGATGAATAAAAATGACTTCCATGCACTCAGAAATGGTTTTCGACCATTGGATTTTCAACGGTATGGAGTCCTTCGATCGACCCAGGCAAACTAAAGTGACTTGATAGGCAACGTAATACACAATGATAGAGAACGTTCCAATCAGGGCTGCAGCCAACACAGAAATCAGAAATCCAAAGTACAACGAATTCCAAAGAGAATATATTAGCGATGGTCTGAGTTGTTTCCACTCCATCGCTCTATTTTTTACTTTATCCTGCGCATCCTCTTCAAGTTGATCCTCTGGAGAGCACGCATTTATTAGCCTTGCCTGACCAATATAACCCGCACTTCTAATGACTTGTTTATCACCGTACTCTTGGAAAATAGACTCCTCATTGGAATCGATGTTCCATTCAAAGCCTGTTCTTTCTCGGGGATTGAGACTAAATAACTTTGGATTAGACTCGTTGTCATTTGGGTTGTAATGTTCAGCAACACTGCGAGTCAGTCCAAATATTATACTTCCACACACTTCGACAAGAGAACTTCCAACCATAACTACTAACAGTCAAGATGTTTCGATTGACCTATTCACGATTGAGCTGTTTACCGTTTCAATGACCACCGATTGCAGAACCAGTCCTGATATCTTATATTAGTTTTCTAGCAGCTATACTTTGGCGCTGTAGGCCGCTCTCAAACAGTGGGTTAACATTTCCAAAAGCAAATGCTAGTTGCTGTCTTGGCTATATGCTCCTTCTCAAATTCAAGGCAACATATATTGTACATTACCACCGTCTAGAGATGAATGCGAAACCTCATCCGCCCCAGAATTGTTTTGATCAGGATCGATCAAAAACTGTGCTACGTACGTGGTGATCGATTTATGTTTTCCACTCAGCAGCAGGGATCCAGGGTTATATGGAAAATAAAATCATTAAGATGTTTCGAAACTCACTAAACGTCTTCCTAAAAAGTGACAACTGAATTCTTTTTCTTATTGAATTTATACGACTACAGACAAAAGACCAGTGTTATTGTGTTATTGAGACAATTGGAAAATGATAGTCCCTCGATCATTAAAGGACGTAATCCAAGACAGCCATCGAAGAGTGGGTGGAAGTGTACTTTGACGGTTTCTAATTTAAAAAATGTTGCTTTTTGATAGTAAAACGTCAAGCCATTCCCAATTACTGTTATCAGGGGAGTAAATAGAGCGATACAAAGTTGACCAATTTTTTTTATTGCATGTTGTACGCATAATAAATAAATATTGCCATAAGTATACCTACAATAAAAATAAAGGCACCCGATCCTAACTATCAAACAAAAGTTTTCAGTTTTCTTGCTCCGACAGCTCGAAAAAATGCCTAACAAGAACCCATGATTGCACTCCGACGCTGAACGAACAGGGAATCTTTGCACAGGTGTTAACTCTGATCGAGAAAAACCGCGAGCCTGAAGAGCGATGGCGATAAGCAGCATCTAAAACGTAGAAAAGGCAAGATATCAGGAAACGTTTCCTTTTTAATCCCATGATTGATTTTGATAGGATCTAAAGAAAAACAGAGCTTTGACAGACAACCAAAAATGAATGAAACCTGTTTCAATGCATTCGGAAATGGTTTTCGACCATTGAATCTTCGCTGCAACGGAGTCCTTCGGTCGGGCCAGCCAAACTAATGTGGCTTGATAACAAACATACTACACAAGCATAGCGAACGTTCCAATCAGGCTCGCAAATGTTCTCTCTTCATGGTTCTCGGGCGAGCACGCATTTATAATCCCTTGACTTCCATTGTCACCGTACTCTTTCTCTAGACCAAACTCCATTTCATTTGGGTTGTAATTTTCGGCAACATTGCGAGTGAATCCAAGAATTATTCCTCCAAACATTTCAATGAGAACACTTCCAGCCATTATTAATGTCAAACTATCGAGACTGACGTTTTTACGAGTTGAATCGCACTGAACCAGGAGCCGACGGCTGAACTTAGAATCACTTTTCTTACACAGTCAGTTGTAGGTGGTCACTGGCCTTAGCTTCCCTTAAGCTTTCAAAACAGGTAGCCCAAGCTCGAAATATGAGCATCGGCGAGCATCGGCATTGTTGCGTAACTTTCAAAATATAAGGATTTGTATGGGAAAAAACCTATCGTTTCTCTAACCTACGAAAATGAAAGGATTTCAATAAAAAACAGCTTACCTTACTTAAAATGTGTGTTACGTCTCTCCTGTGTGGTCCACGGACCATTTTATAGAGAGAAAACCGTTTACATAAAAACCCATAAAACGGCCCGTGGACCACACAGGAGAGACGTAACACACATTTTAAGTAAGGTAAGCTGTTTTTTATTGAAATCCTTTCATTTTCGTAGGTTAGAGAAACGATAGGTTTTTTCCCATACAAATCCTTATATTTTGAATGTTACGCAACAATACCGATGCTCGCCGATGCCCATGTTTCGAGCTTGGGCTACCTGAGTTGAAAGCAACAGTTAGAAGTTTAGTTTTCACTGTGTTCTCAAGATCGGTGACGAAACAAGAATATGATGCTGACCTGTGGAATGAAAACTGAGGATTGTGCTCAGGATGAGTTTCACCAGACAAAGCAAACCCTCCCTTCATATAAACTGGTGAAGGCCTGTTTGACTGAGCTTGTGGTGTATTTGCTGTTGATTGATGGTAGCAAAAACTGAAATTTCTTTTTTTAAAATTTGATGAAGGAATGAAATATAAACCACTACTATAAGGTAAAATCATTTAAAATTCATATCGTGCGTTTTAATTTCAGAAGAGAGTACTTTCAATATTAATGAAAAGATCAAAGATAGATCATAACACGCCGGCATTAAAATTCCATCCGTAAAGTCAGGGGCACCCAACGACCATGTTTCCAAATACGTCAGAAGTGCCTCAAACTGTTTTATCCTTACGTCAGAGGCCTGTTTGGTTAATTTGGAGCTGCCCTAAAAACTATTTATCTGTCGGGTGTCTTAGGGGAACTCTCGAAAGTTTTAGGGAGCTATTTCGTCTCATCCGAAACTGTTAACTATGTGATAGGTCCGATCTTTATACCGAAATTTTCAGGAGACGTTTTTTTTTTTAGCAATTTAACCCAATATCTTGGTAAAGATGGGAAGAACACAACCTTAGAAAATCGTAGGTAACAAAGTAGAAAAACTCCGAATATCTTAGGCGAATGGAACGGTTATCCAGAAATTTTTAGCCTTTTTTGAGCTTTAGAAATTTCTAGGCAATATTTGCTCTTTCGAAAAGCCACTTTGAAGAAAAAAAAAGTCGTTGGGTGCCCCTATAAAGTATCCACATGAAATGCACACTCACTGATATAAAAATTACAAGTTGTCAGGGAATGCTGCTGGGCTAGTGTTATAAATATTTGAAGCAGAATTTTGTCTAAGTCGTTTCGAAGTGGACATCACGGAACAAGCAGATCTGAATTCGTTGGTCTGCGGCAGGTCATGAAAAACTGACGTCTCCTTTGGAGCCGTAAAAACTACTGGTCGCACTTGAGTTCGCTTTGTTGCTCTTTCTGTTTGTTGGTAAGCACTCAACTGCATGTTGCGTGATGCGAAATGCTTCCCATGAGCAAGTTGCGTTTTCTGAAAGAAAATTGGAAAATTTCCCTTCTAGATGTGATTATAGTGTGCCAATGGCGGTGCATGCATACACCAGAAACACTGTAGCAAAGAAAATTTAGCCTAATTGAGCGTAATGAACCGCTTTGAAATCTTCTAACATCCTTAAGTCTGTGAGCGAATCCTTGAACAGTTCCTCATTTTCTTAAGTGTTTACTCCGAAAATTTGACAATAACTCTCGCGTATTTTATCTAACTTTCCTGATAGTATAAAAAATTTACAAAACCATGTTGAAAACTGAGTTATGGTCAAAAGCTCCTTAACACCAGGTTACTAAATTAGCAACAATTCAATGTTCAAAACACCCTTATATAAATAATAGTAACTTTCAATGCTACTACATTAAATGTAAGCCAAAAATCCCTCGTATTTGGCTGGCCGCTTTATGCAGGAAACACTTACAACTATTAACGTACCTGATCAGCCTGAAGCCGTCTTTTCAGGGGTTTTGAAGATGAGTTCGTCCTCAGGGACTGATTTATCAAGGCCTTGTACAGGTCTGAGTGGACCAGGAGGGGATTATACGTATTGGATAATTCAATCTAAAAAGTACCCCAAAACAAATGCTTACGTCTCCTAACTGAAAATTCAAGAAATCGGAGGCTAAAATGACTCTATAGATAAACACGCAAATATATAAATAAATAAAAGCAATTTTATTTTCTTTGTATATATTTGTGGAATGAGATTGATCATGAGTTTACATTTTTTCCGTTACTGATTCATTTTCTTCAAAGATATAGACATTAGCGATAATATTATTTTTGTCCCACCAAAAACTACACAGTAAAAACCCACGAGACCCACGAGTAAGGAAGTACTGTATTTTCCCAAGTTAGCCTTGACAGGTTCTTAACGTAAATGGACAAATAATTAGCTCAAATTTAGGCTATTTAGTAAATAGGCTACATTGTAGCTAAGAGTGTATAATGGTAAACACTTAACAGGTTCTTGTAGAGGGAGGCCTAACATGCACATTTTAGCCAGCTAACTCACGTTATTAAAACCAGGTTTTTACTCGCTGGTTTTTGCTGTACTCGAAATAGTGTTCTATTTTACTTACAGTTGTAAATGTGTGATTCTGAGTTTTGAGTTGCACGAAGGTAGATAAGCATACTTCATGCTTCAAGAAGTTCAACTAATTATAAGGACCTTTTCAAAGTTTTTGTTCATTATCCCTTCTTGAGATAGACATAATGTTATTATATACACATTGAGAAATACTCACCAAAAAGCTATGTCGTAAATTTTCGTACGCAAATTAGTTCTAGCCAATCAGAGGAGCGAACGATGGTTTTCACACGTGAGAAAAATGATACGTCCAATCAGAAGCCACAGAGGTGTGTGAGTTTCGCGCCAAAATTCCCGCCTTTTATTGCAGCTTGCAGCGCCGCTTCGCACACATTTAACGAGAAAAGTTTTACTCAAAGAGTTTTTCTTGCTAAAAAAGTGAAAAACATTTCGGAATTGGAGTGGAATAGTTTCGTTTGTTTCACTGTCGATAAAGAAAACGGTAGAGATCCGGCGAAACAACAGCGGAAAGGGAAAAATAGAACGAGACGTAAGCTTTTGTTGTGCATTTTGTCGGAGCTACTTTGCCTTTCATTTAAGCTTAAGCTTATATTGAAACCGGCCATTTTACTTAAATTCACTCATTTTCAATTGTGCATTGAGAACAAACAGTTAAGATTACTTATAGTTCTTGGATTACCTCATATCCTTACCGTCATTTATATTTTTAACAATCGTTTTTACTAAAAAGCTGATACTTCGTTTTCGTTGTCATTTAGCGGTAAGTGTGTAGCGGCAAATTTTAGCATTTTGAAAAATTTACAATAAAAAGGCCGCCAAAATGATGAATGTCTTATTATGTATATCATAAACACAACACCACATGGAAAGTGCCTTGTACGGTATTTACGCACTCGTTGATTTTGTATCAGAAATCTTACTCGTTCGCTGTGCTCACTCGTTCGATTTCTGATACGTCAACTGGTGAGTAAATACCGTACGCCAGCACTTTCCATGAAGTATTCTCTACATGTTTATATATATATATATATATATGGAAAAAAAACTTTACCTGGTCAAGACATGAGGCTACAGCTGATAAGGCACTGTCGCTAGGTCCCTGTACAGAAGACTGGAAATCATTAGGTAACATCAGCTCACTAACAGCAATGGACTTCAGCAACAAAGAGTTATTATCAGAAGGAAGAAACAAGTAGTGTCCTTCTGGAGACAAGGGTGTCACAGGTGTCTCAACACCAGGCAATGTCACAGGCTTATAACTTGTCTTTGCCAACAAGGCGACGCCCTTTTTGATTTTAAAGAAAAACAGAAAAAAGGATTATTTGCCTAAATAAAATTAGCCCGGGGGGACGAAGCTAAAAATGACTGAGATCGGAAATTACACAATAAAGTTCATGTCCATTAACGATAAACAAAAAACAATGTTCTTCAAGAAAACAGGGATATGGTTTTAGTTGTGGATGAACTTTAATCGGAATTTTTTTTATTGTACTCTATGGCATCCATTGATATGAAGAGAAACACTCGGAATGAAGTTTAAGGGATACTTATAAAAAAGCAGCACCTCAGTAACAACCAAACACTTGTCACCCGTTTAAAAAGAAAATGTAAATTGTACCCTTTCATTTAACACTGAACACAGGGCATGGAAATGCTGTTGGTTACTTTCCAGATCCTCCCAGTCTAGCTTCCAGCACAAGGTGGGTCGAACAATGAAGGGCTGCCACAAAGAAAAACAAAGACGAAGTAACAAGTGCTTATTAAACTCGAATCTGTGTCCACTGTTATTGCTGTTTTTCAGGCTGGTCTCAAGAAAGTCGTTGGGATTGTTGACATGTGTTGTATGCGGTATGCTGAAAGGACAAATGTAGAAAGTGTTTAATTTGGAGGAAACGAAGGAGGGATATAAAAGAATAATGAATGAATGATCGAACTAACGAGCGAACGAACGAAAGAACTATTAAACTAAGGGGAAAAGGAAAGAAGGATGCAAGTAGGAAGGAAGGAGAAGGGTGGCAGGAAGGAAGGGAGAGAGGAAGAGTGGAAGGAAGGAAGGAAGGGAAGGAGGGAGGAAGGGTAGAAGGAAGGAAGGAAGGAAGGAAGGAAAGACGGAAGGGAGGGAGGAAGGGTGGAAAGAAGGAAGGAAGGGTGGAGGGAAGGAAGGAAGGAAGGAAGGAAGGGTGGAAGCAAGGAAGGAAGGGAGGGAGGGAGGAAGGAAGAAGAAGGAAGGAAGGAAGGAAGGAAGGAAGGCAGGGTGGAAGGAAGGAGGAAAGGGAGGGAGAGAAGAAGGGTGGAAAGAAGGAAGGAAGGAGAGAAGGAAGGAGAGAACGAAGGGTGGAAAGAAGAAAGGAGGGAAAGAAGGAAGGGTGGAAAGAAGGAAGGAAGGAAGGGAGGGAGGGAGGAAGGGTAGAAGGAAGGGAGGGAGGGAGGAAGGGTGGAAAGACGAAAGGAATGAAAGAAGGAAGGGTGGAAAGAAGGAAGAGTAGAACGAAGGGAGGGAGGGAGGAAGGGTAGAGGGAAGGAAGGGAGGGAGGAAGGGTAGAAGGAAGGAAGGAAGGGAGGAAGGGTAGAAAGAAGGAAGGGAGGGAGGAAGGGTGGAAGGAAGGAAGGGAGGGAGGAAGGGTAGAAGGAAGGAAGGGAGGGAGGAAGGGTGGAAGGAAGGAAGGGAGGGAGGAAGGGTAGAAGGAAGGAAGGAAGGGAGGAAGGGTAGAAAGAAGGAAGGGAGGGAGGAAGGGTGGAAGGAAGGAAGGGAGGGAGGAAGGGTAGAGGGAAGGAAGGGAGGGAGGAAGGGTAGAAGGAAGGAAGGAAGGAAGGGAGGAAGGGTAGAAAGAAGGAAGGGAGGGAGGAAGGGTGGAAGGAAGGAAGGGAGGGAGGAAGGGTAGAGGGAAGGAAGGGAGGGAGGAAGGGTGGAAGGAAGGAAGGGAGGGAGGAAGGGTAGAAGGAAGGAAGGAAGGGAGGAAGGGTAGAAAGAAGGAAGGGAGGGAGGAAGGGTGGAAGGAAGGAAGGGAGGGAGGAAGGGTAGAGGGAAGGAAGGGAGGGAGGAAGGGTGGAAGGAAGGAAGGGAGGGAGGAAGGGTAGAAGGAAGGAAGGAAGGGAGGAAGGGTAGAAAGAAGGAAGGGAGGGAGGAAGGGTGGAAGGAAGGAAGGAAGGGAGGGAGGAAGGGTGGAAGGAAGGAAGGAAGGATGGAAGGAAGCAAGGAAAGAAGGAAAGACATAGTATAAAACAAACATTGGAATTACCCTATATTATGCTTTAGTAAACTCACCATTCCGAAGAGCTAACTCAAGGAACATGCAAAAACAAAAAGAAAGCAGATAAACAAAGAACAAAATTAGTAAAGAAACAAACTGAGTCACTCCGGTGGATGCGCTTTCAAACAAAAGTTTGCACGCTAAAATTTTCCCGTAAACCTGTCTTTAACAGTAGCACGCTAAGCAATAACAAAATGTCAACCTTTCAATCAATGAATCAATGTCAGCTTACCACAGATTCACATATTGCATCTGTCTTAACGAGTTTTACTGCAGCCAAATTGTACACTGGATAAGTCAATACAGTAGGTTTTGTCACTGCTACCCCTTTACTCGTTAGATTTGTTGACTCTGAGCCCACCGTCTGTAGATTAAATTGAAACGAAGACGACGAGTTATTTAAGTTACTGCAGGAGGCAATGCTGCATGCCTTGCTACGATAATTCCCCAAACCGTCTACTCTCCTAAGAAGGGCCCTGGAGGGCAAACAACGCAGTGGGACCTTGAAAAGAAAGAATATTATCTTTTTGAGTGATGTTATTTCCTTGTTTTTCTTGCCCGGCTGTGTCGTTTGCCATCCAGCAAGGTATTTTTAAACCATGTGACCGGTTCTCTGCAAAGGCCCATTGCTGCTTCACATTTAAGATGAATAATTTTGACACTGAACTAAAATCGTGGCTTGGACGTGAAGAATTTTCAGAGGCTATGTTATTTCTCAAGGTATAACCTCGGTACTGGTTTTCTGATTGTTAACAAGGAAATTCTCTGCTTTCATATTTTAACCACTGATTATCACGTTGCTTTACGCAGTATTTCGGACGATAATAAAGGTATTGAAATCGAGGATTAAAATATTAAGGACAGCATATGTTGAAGGCTTGCTGTGAGTTTGTGACTTGAAATGAGACTCACAGATTTTAAATAGCAGTAACGAATTGTTCATAATGACACGTTATAAAATTTCAGATTCACGCACGAAATGACAATTTTTCATAAATACAGCACGCTTTAACTCCAGCCTTGGTATCATAAACTTAGAGAGAGTTGCAGCATTGCTGGCTAATTGAAAATCTGCGGTAGTGAACAGGAGATTTATATATAACACTTACATAATTAAACTGGTAAGGTAAATGCACAGGATCCAGCAAACATTCGTGAAGATCGCACTTTAAAGAAAGGCCTCTGTCGACCATTTCCTGACTTTGATCACCTGGTGTGATATAAAAATATTGAGATTTTAAAACGTAGCTAAGTAAACGGCCTAACGGAATTTCGGTTACAACATCAAAAAGAAATAAATGAAGATGAAGATGATGCTGCTTATGATGACTGTGATGACAGTAGGGAGCTACAAGAGACGACGACGACGACGGCAGTGGAAGAGTGGTTAACAAAGTTAACTTGCGTCGATTCAAACTTTTTCGCGTCTATTTGGACCGCCTAATTTGGCAAATTCAGGCGATTTTCCTTGAGTTGAATTAGAAAGGACTTTATCCAGGATCAAAAAGAGAATGGAAAATTCGTCGTCGTATGTTCAGGTCCTCCATGAAACGTCGCGTTAGTATGTTTCACGTCGTAATCGTGCAGTGGACGTCAATGAAATGATGTACGTGCAGAGCTGTTGTTTTGCTCATAAAGCCAATTCAGTTTTTTGACGTTGTCGTTGTAGTCGTCGCGTGGTTGCGTAAGCTCCCAGCTAGTAATAGGGACTTTAAGATTCGACGACGCGACGTTGACTAGAACGTCGCTGAAAAAGTGAATTTGCGTTCTTTCAGTCTTTATCGCAATTATTCCTACACACTTACTTTGTCAAATGTAGGCGAACACTCCTGGAGTTGAATTCCTAGGCACCATATCCAAGCACAGTAAGAGAAATAAAATTTCGTCGTTGCTTGTTTACGTCCTCGGTAAAACGCGAAATTAGGCATGTTCACGTCGTAGTTGTGCTAAAACGGGCAGAGAAATGTACAAGAATGCGTGGTGCACGTGCAAAGTTGTTGTTTTGCTAATCAAACCTATTGTTTTTTTTGACGTTCTCGTTACCGTCCGCGTCGTTGGATCTTAAAGTCCCTAATAACGAAGACGACGACGACGACAACGATAATGCTGATGATGTCAATGGATGCTGATGACAATATGGGCTCCTGCGATAACGAAGATGATGATGGTGGTGGTTGTGGTGGTGTTAGTTATGACGCTGATGGAAGTAATAATGATGAGGATGACACTCATGGTGATGGTGATGGTGATGAGGATATTATGCTTATCATTTCATTTCATTTTATTGGTTAATTCAGATTTACAATTTTATTTTCTCACTGCCCACAAATAGCAAAGGCTAGTCTAGGAGGGCTGTGTCTACAAAGAACAAAATACGCACTCCAAATGGTATCCAATTGACATGTCAACAAAAAGTTATTTATATACATTGTACAAAAGGTAAAGAGAGGAAGAAAAGTTACATTAAACAATAACGCTGAGGTTAACTGGAACACGGAATAAATCAGAAGCTTACAAGTGCACTATTAAGATGATGGCAAAGATAATAAGTGGGTGAGTTACGGACGAATGTGAATATGTTGCATTTGTCCTAATAACGTAGATCAGGTTCGCGGGCGTTTGTCTGTGAAAGGATTTGTAGTGAGCAATTAGGTATACAGTTATGCAATGCAATGCAATGTCATGACAATTAAATTGATGATAGTGGCTAGTGTTTATTATGACGGTGATAGAGATGTTAATATTGATGATGTAACTAAAAAGATTATTTAAATTTGCTTGTTTCTCTTTAGGATTAAGCAGTGAAATGAAAGACGTTGCACTATAGCTCATGATCACTATATGGGAGTAAGCTGATGACGACTGAACTCTGATGATGAAACAACTTTACTACTGACTGACAACAAAAATGGACCTTCGATGCTTCACATTTTTTAAACTTACTTTCATTATCCTGGTTAAACGCGCCGGGCAGAGACAATCGCAAATGCTCTTGATCTGTGCCACAATCAAGCAGCCATGTCTTGAAAAAGTTTTGAAAACTGACGACATCTGCAGAATGGAAAAGAGCATTATTTTTCATAACTTGAGAAAATTACTCTTAATGACCCACACACAAGATACTGTTCAGAGAGAGGTAACTATAGGTATGTGATTTGCAAGCCCTTTGTTTAGGTTTTTTATATATATATTTGATTGCCTTTAACGACACCTTAGCCTCCCACGCAGGCGTTTTTAGGGGAGCTCGTTTTTCATCCCAAAAACGAGCTCCCCTAAAAACGCCTGCGTGGGAGGCTAACGACACCTCAACTTTGCGCACTGCGGGAAAAATAGGTCGGGTCACTACTGGCCACGTAAAAGCAAGGTTTTTAGTTACGCAAATTACATTTTTAAAGTGTCACTGATCACGCATCGAAGATACGAAGATTACTGGTCATAGCCGCATATGGAATACAAATTGTAAGTTAACATTTGCCCGTCATCGCTTCAACCAAATTGATTTGTGTAGTAACCTTTTTGTAACATTAATTTCGTTTTCCTGCTAGGACTACGACACATTCGGACGCCACGATTCAACGATTTGTATCGTCAAGTGCAAATAAATTCCAAGTGCGTGGAACTCCGTTAGTGGCTAATCTTCAACTATAAAAAGTAGCCCCTTCACACACTGTAGCGAGGCAGCATGATTCAGCATGATTTGTGGATTCAGCCTTTATCCACAAGATAAGTCAAATTGCTATCTTACAACTCCCTTTTCAATTGCTTTTGTTGATGATACGAATAGTATCTTGTTTTAGTTCATAGGGACAGCGTTAATGAACAATAAGTCAGCATTTTTGACTCTCAAACTGGGTGCCAAGGTAAAGTCGGAGTCAGTCTGAGCACTTTTGGATTTATTTTTCTTGCAACGAGCCAGTTGGTCTGCCTGCAGCAATATTTGTGTTTTTTAAAAATGTTACATTTTTTTGTGATTTATTTAACTACAGTGCCTTAGGGATTAGCTAAAAAAGCTAGGGTGACTCGCCAGGCCGCGATACCTTTCTCCAAGGAGACAACGTCTACCAGGCCACAACCCATCAGTCCCTCATCTTCTGTTCCGGGTGAGCTGTCTTCCTCTTGAAACAAAAGAGCGAGGATTATTTAAACTAGTTGATGTTGTTGTTTGAAATACCTTTTCATTAGGACATGAGTTTTGTTTGCTTTCTTTTAATCAAACAGCTACTGTAATGGATCGTCCGTAAAAAAGAGCTGTATACTTTCGGTAAACTGCATCTCGTTTATGGGACTTAGAATATAATCATGGCAAAGAGGGTATATACACGGTTTGTCGGCCCGTGTCAATGAAGCACCACGGATCAGACTAATTGTAACAAACTGTGCCCTGATGTAAAAATGAGAATATGCATGCTCCGTATGTGCTCAGAATACGGAACATTAGCAATGCTGACCTTTTTTAAGGAGAGTGCGATCCGTCAACTGCTCTTAAAGCAGTGTTGTTTAGTTCCCAACTGGCAGCGCAGCACTACTGGACATGATTGAAATTAGCTGAAGTTATGGAGTAGCAGATGAGGCAGTGTTATCTAATACTGATGAGATGGGTTGAAAAAGTGAAGCGTAGCCAGTTTTTTGGGTTTGTCTTTTGTTCGAGATGGCACTGATTTCTAACTATAAATCTTCCATGTTCTTATGGAAGAAATCAGTAGGGTTGTTTAATTATTTACTGTTTTTCTCTCACCAGAGCGGCTGTCTTCTTCCTCCACACTTATTTCGTCCGAACTCTGCACCATAACTACCTGAATTTTCTGAAGTTAAAGTGAATTGTAACAAATATAATTTTCCTTGTATAAATTTGTCTAGTATAGTACTGTGTTGGTATTTGCAAACACCTGAATAAATTAATCGGGACTGACTTGATACCACTTAATAGAGTTGGCTGCATATCTTTATAGCATTATTTTTATCGTAATTGTTATAATTACTGTGCCAAAACCAACGCTCACAGAGCCGCTCGGCGTCGAGATAGTTCGTTTCGGCCAAAAAGGGGCCCAGCGTACACAGCAGGTATTAGGAAAGGAAACAAGGGGTGGTTGGAACTGGCAATTAAACATGATTAAGTTCACTTACGGCAAATGTCTTAATCTGAAACTCAGTATTCAGTTTAAATGAGTTGTGAGTTTAGTTTATCGGAGCCGGCGATTTTAACCAACCTTCAGACTTTCAAGATCGAGGCTCTTCGAAAACTTTTCGATATGTTTTGTTACAGAAACTGCTGCCCTACAAGTGAAGAAGATGATCTCCAGCTGACAACTTGAAGTACTCATCTAAAAGAACAAAGTTTCAAAAGACCATGCAACTAAGCTTACCCCCTTCTCTGGTTTTTGTAAACCTTCTTTCAGCTCAGTGGCAGCCACGACGCTAATTTAAAACTCTCAGTCTACTTCCTTTCGAACTTTCCATTGACTAATGGTAACTCTTTCACATTACCTACTAACAGGAAATCTTCTTGTCATTTTCATGCAGTATTATTAAAAGATATGCACTTTATTTTAGTGTCAATGCATGTATTTTAGTACGGAATACTAATTGGGGACACTATTTTTTACGTCTCTTCCGGGAGACGGGGGGACCGCCATTTACGTGGTCATCCGAGCCACGCGAATATCTAGCCGCTTGCAGTACATACGTGGTACCTTCATTTCTCAATTATTTTAAGACCCTGAGTATTGGTCCGGCCACAGGAATCGAACCTGCGACCTCCCGCTCTGCAGTCACACGCTTTACCGACTGAGCGAACACTGCCGCCATTAAAATAAAATAAAATAAATTATATGATAAAGAAAATTTCTAACCTGCCTTAGACTTTGCGATTGTCGCCTAAACTGAGCAGCAGTCTCTCGAAGGCCCTGTAAAATAAGGTCTTAAAAAGAAATGAGAGCCTTATTAGTTATGTAAATTAAGTATACAGTATAAGCTACAGTAAAAATAACTTTCATTGTCGAAAAAATAACTCGAAAGGGAAGCGCAAAATGCTGTTTAATGTATTTCAAGCCTTTAACTTTATGGACTACCCTCATTTCACCGAAGGATAGTTGGTAAGTTAGCTGTAGTATAATATGTACCTGGTGTGCACGGACAAGTCGCTTTTTCTTTGGCAAGAAGCTTTAGTTCCCCGAAGGAGGAGTGAAGCCTAGAAAAGTTCCCTCTGACATGTTGCAAGGAAAACAGGTTCTGAAAAGGTTAAAAATGACAAGAGCAAACGTGAGGCAAACTATAAGTCAATTGCGACTGAATGTTTTATCACTAGGAATGGCTTAGACGGTAGTAATGAGAGGCCTTACAGTTTTCTTGTTATTCTCAGTCGATATGAAGCTAAAAAGGATCTTTGGACTTAACTGATGCGAGTACCAGGGAATTGTTAATGATAACAACTCGATACTACATTTAAGTCACGCATTTATTCTAGCCTGAGTATCAGGCCTTCCTAAGGGGCTAGGGGAGAGGAGATTTTCCCTTTTTCGCTTCCATCTTTCCCCTTTTCCCCAGAAACGCCTGATACTCAGGCTACATTTATTCACAGTCGATAATATACTTATAAACTGAAAAATAATAATAAAAACAACAACAGCAATAATAATAGTAATAATAAAAACGCCACACAACGCGGATGGCCACAGTAAAAAAAACTGTTGGAAATCAGTTAATTACTGGCTTTACTGTACTGTATTTAAAAGCTGAGAAATTAAGTTTAAGTTAAAGATAGCTAAGTCCTCGTCGGGGAAATAACTAACTTACATGCAACATTTCAAGTTATTTGTGATGGCTGTCAGTATAAATCATAGCTTTTGGCGATGCATATAAGGAATTCATAAAATAAATAAAAAGCGGGACTCACTTCAACAAATTTTGTAAGTGCAAACAAACCAAAGAATGGTGTTCTGCAAGGTCCGCTCAGATGTGTTACAAGTGAAAAGAAATTCACTAGAGCGTCATGTAGGTATTCACAAGTATCTGCGTCAAATGGAGGACTATAATCCACAAGTAACACTCGAGCTATGAAAAGAAATTAAGACAGCACAAAAGATTACGGGTGTCTTTTTACAAGCAAGCCAAATCTTAGTCAATTCTGTGTACTTAAGGGTGGGATTCGTCAGGGCGAACTAAAATAGACCTTTTAACAGTTTTTTTTAACTTTTTATATGGAACAGTCAGGGAAAATCCGTCGACACCGCTAAAAAGAGCTTAGTAAAATTTCCAAATTTGAAAGTGATACGACTTTAGCGAGCGAAGATATAGCTCTGTAAAGTTGAGAATATTTACAGCTGAAGTTTGTATGATGGGAGACAAGTTTGTGCCTTCCACCATACAAACGTCTGTAAAGTTTCGCGACTTTGAGGAGCTGTTTCCTCATTAGCTTTCAACAAATCACTCGAAAACTTAAGGCACTCTTTTCAGGGGTGTCGATGGACTTACCCTAACGTTTCCATAATAAAAGTTGGGAAAAAAAATCGAGGAAAGGTCTGTTAGATTCTTTATCTCAGGTTGGTTAGATTCGTATACGTACGACGAAAGAAATGAAAACTCAAATGACTCTCTAGCTAGCGTACAAGCAAAAGTGCGAGAAACAGCAGAGCCAATTAATCCTCAAAACCATAATATCAAAATTTAAATTCTCATTTCTTGACGGAGGTTGTTTAAATATCAACTAAATTGAGCTTCCTGTCTCAGCTTGATACTCGTGACCTCTCTTTTTTATGAAATTTTAGGGATGAAATTTGATTCAACTAAAAGGGACTCTCACTTATCATGAATCCTAAAAAGTAGGATATATACCGTAAAATTCCGAAAATAAGCCCCTCCGTGTATAAGCCCCTCCAAATATAAGCCCCCCAAACTCGTAACGCAAAAGACCCTCCGTTAAATCGCCCCTCCAAATATAAGCCCCCCGGGGGCTTGTACTTGGCAATTACCCTCAAATACAAAGTAAAACAAAGCATAAAGGTAAATTTCCTTCCAAATATAAGTCTAGCCCAATCGATTTTTAAACGCCAATTTCCCTCCATAGATAAGCCCCTCCAAAAATAAGCCCCTCAAAAAGGGCCTTTGAAAATTATAAGCCCCGGGGCTTATTTTCGGAATTTTACGGTATTTGACATAATAAATTCATTAGAAGAGTGGACTCTTCAGATTCACAATCGATTCAAAGTTTACCAACCATGTGAAAATCGAAATCACTAAACCGCGGTATTATAATCATGAGCGAGTCTCACCAGCTGATACCTGGATACATTTTTCAAATAAATAAGGAAATAAAATAATAAACTTTAAAATTGTTTTAATCAGTATTTTTTTCAATTGATAGCTCATTCACAGGCTGACTCTTCATCTGTCGGTTTCAATTAGGAATTATTAGCGAATTTTGTTTTTTTTAGGAGTTGGAAAACAACAGGTGTAAGATTACTTCGGAAAAAAAAAAACTCTCGGAGCAAGCTCGAGAACTAACAACGTAAACAAAATCGACGTGGCGTATTTTATATTGTCTCCGGTGTCATTACATACCTGGTTGTCTTACGAATGCTGTTCTTCTGGGTTGTTTATCTACAGTTTTCTCCATTTTAACTGCATCGTAGAAGCTGAAATGAGTTATAAAACGTTCAAGTTTTCCTCTGAAAGATAGAATAACCATAAGCTTATTGAAGCGAGTACAAATTATTTTTTCCGAATCCTGAGGCAATTCATGTGAAAAGAACACAACTGAGTATTTGGTAAGATCTCAGACGATAAGTGAAACCTTAAGCTTAATAAGTTTAAAATAACTGACGGCGAATGGACAGGTCGTTTATAAGACTAAATATTCAATCAGTTTGAACAGGAGCCTGTGGGGTCCTGGTTTGAAAGAAAACCGCCCTCATTCTTTTCTTAGCTTACGTTTCACAAACCTCAGACTGTGGTTTATATTTCCTCTCAAGCTTAGCGAAGAATAATGAAGAAAACTGGTAGTCAAATATGCATGCAGACGACTCAGGACGATTGTATGAATCGATCTCTGTTGTGAGTGAAGTTTGTTCCCGTCGGATCTTGCCCACTTTTTGGCGGGAAACTCCTGTTTCTGATCAAAGAGTAGTTTCTTCCTACGTCACTTTTACCGCTGGTCTGAAATACGTTGGGCTCATTCAGCAACACGAGATCACCGCCATCTTGAAAATTTCTTTGTGAAGGAACTTGAATACGTATATATTTCCCACAAAATGAGGGATGTAAAAGGATATTTGAGTAGAAAACAGAGCGAAGGGGGACCTTTAGCATCGGATTGGGTTTCTCTAGGAGAGTTATACGAAAAAAGGTGAGGTTTGTTTCTGACAGTTTGATGAACTGAGCTGATACACTGGGATTGCTTAGTCATGTCTTGTTAAGGTCTATGTCTAGTAATCGAGTCACAGAACACGTTTTTGGGTTTGAAAAAAACGTAACTACACAGATCTAAATTATTTTTGTAAGTTGTGTTAATAGCCTGTTTGGTAGGAGTTATCGAGCAGGCCGCTTGCAATGTACATTTGCCACACTGTGACTCGTTGAGCTTTTGATAATAATAGTAAGCTTACTCTGAACTGGACGCATGTAAACTGGCCTCGGGCCTCCTTATGAAAAAAATTTCAAATGAGAAAACTTCACGTAAAAAATCTTGGCCTTCAAAGGCCACGTATATCGAAATAGCAACAGTCTATATGTATAAACATATGAAGGTCGGTGCACACTAGGCGACAATTTACAGCAACAAGCTGCCGCGACAGATCACTCCGTGTGTACAGGTCGCCCAAGCAAAAAGGTTATATGTATGTTTATAACTCTTTGTACATGGAAAAGGTGTTTTTCTTACATTTAGTTGAGCCAATACTTGCAGCTTGTGTTAATTAATTAATTGAATTGTGTACCTTTTTTCTTAGTATTATATACAAGTCATATTTGGGGATTTTTCTCTTTATATTTTCAATTAGCTTTGTATTTTTATCAACTTTTTTAAATATCAATATGCAGCATTGATCCTAGTTAACTTGTTTTAGATTCTTAGCCTTCTTAATACTTAGTCTCGGGCTTGGTAGACTTTGTAACTACACCCTGTGTATTTGACGATGAATAAATAATCTTATATTATCTTATCTTTACTGAAAGGTCCTACAATATTCAGCTGTAACAGAGGCTCATGACCAATTATAGGAAAAATAAGTTTAAAAACATGCAGTCAAATTATTCTCAGAGTGGACCAGGGTGGCCCAGCGTTTTCTGTAGGTGCTCTCCTCAGGGAGCAGACCTTAGTGTCCACATTATAGAGATGTCCCTATAGTAGTGGTACAGTTGAAGGAATTGTAGAAATTAATTGGTGTCTTTGAGACAAGATGAACTGTACAATATTAAAAGTGCCTGTATTACTATTGATATAAATTTCTGTCTGTAAAGATGTCTGTAGATTTGATCTCTTGACAGATATGCCAAAGTACACTTACATATATGGAATACCGTGAAATTCTGAAAATAAGCCACTCCATGTATGAATTGCTCTAAATATAGGCCCCCCAAACTCATAACGCAAAAAAACGTCTGATAAATTGCCCCTCCAAATACAAGCCCCCCGGGACTCGGAAATTGTCCTCAAATTCAAAATAAAACAAAGCAAAAACTGTACAGTAACACATAAATTTTTGCATTTGCCATATTCTTAGTCCATATAGACAAAGTACTTGCATGGCTGAGTTTTAGAAAGATCTACATCTTCAAGGCGAGTTTCAGTAAAAACTTGCTGCAAATTACTGACATAAATTTCCTTCCAACTGTAAGCCTTGAGGCATATTTCGCTCCCAGTACAGCTGTATAAGCCTAGCCGATTTTGAAGTGCAAATTTCCCTCCGTATATAAGCCCCTCCGAATATAAGCTCCTCCAAAAATAAGCCCCTCAAAAAGGGCCTTTGAAAAATATAAGCCCCAGGGCTTATTTTTGGAGTTTTACAGTATTCACACTTCCTTTAAACATAGGACCCTCTACCTGTTTTTTTTTAATCCTATTGTATGAAAGTCTGTAAAATAATATCTTTCAGGTTGTGGCATCAACTAACTCTCAAACTTACTGAGTTTGTTAAGAATGACTACTTTGCTCAAAATGGAGGGCTTGTTGAGGTAACTGTCAAGAAAACATACAGCTGTGAAAAATGTTGTGAACAAATGTGGCTGTTTCAGTTGGAAATTGAGGGAATTATTTTACACTTGTATTAAGCACTTGTGCAATCCATTGACTTGTACACTTTTTGCCATAAAATGACATGTACATGTTCATATCTGATATCAGGCTACTTCATAATTAAAAAAAAAAACAGAAAAATTTCCTAATTTGATCACATCACTAAGCTAAGTTTTAACTTAAAAGTGCAATTTCTTTTCTTCCCAAATGTTTTTCACTGCAATGTGCCTAGAAGATAAATACAATTTAAAGGGTTTCCTTGAAATTAACGTACAATGTATATGTTGTAGTTAATTCTTTATCTCACATAGTTTTTATTTTTTCTTTTGTTTAAACTTCATTAGCATACATTACCATACTCAAAAACAAAAAAAATAAGATAAAAGATAAAATTTAACTACAACATATACATGATTGTTTTTTAAGAGGTCTTCACTTACGTATAAGTTCTAGTATGCAAAGAAAGTACATCTAGTGTCAGATACACGTAACCTGGGGTTAGTGGATTTTGCTGTCGGGCTGGTGAATGCTGTTGTTACATGTAACTCCCCCAATGGGCAAGTGCAGTTTTTTGGGGAATTCAAATTACAGAAGAACTGTAATCAATAATTTATTCTTTTTGAATCAAAGATTTTGTTTTGGGCTAGTCTAAATGACTTTTGGGAGCTACAGCTTGCCTGAATGACAAGCTGTACATGTACAGGTACTCCACCCTGAGTTCAAAATACTTTGTCCTCTTTATTCACCTGAGTAACAAGTGAATTAAAAGTTATGTGGACTTGTTGTAGATTTTGTGAAATTGTATTAAATGATTTAGATTACAGTGCACTACATCACCTATCTTTACTTGGGTGTAAAAGTACATTATCCCTCTTTTTTGTAGATGTTTGAAAATTTCATCGCAGACTTTGAACACAGGTAACTTTAACTAAATTTACTGTACATGTATATGGCAAGTACATGAAGGTCTTTTTTTTTTTAGCTCATACATGTATGTACAAATGATTATATAGAAGAAAGTTCTTTGTTGGGTTTCATGCTTACAACACTACAGCTTAGATTTTCCCTGTGGTCAATCTAAACACTTTCTTTTTGTAATATTTTCTTATTGCAGAATAAACATGCTCTCCCTCATGGAAATTGTGTTGTACGTCATAAAGGAAATCAAAGGTAGTTAACAAAGTTATCATACATATTTGTATAAAATAATTTTACTGGTCAAATTTGATTTCAAGTTAAATTTTTTAAACTTAGGTTGACTCTCAATTTCCATTGTCTCTTATGGCTAGAAGACAAAGGAAACTGAGAGTCAACCTAGGTTAAATCAAAATTAACCTGGAGTTAAATTTCAACTGTATCATAAATCTAAATCACTATTTGCTAACTGCATAAACAGAGTTGATAGAAATACTTGTAGTATTTGTAATGAACCTTCCGTTGCAATTTTAATTTACAGTGTAAACAAATGTATGTTTATTTCTAGAACCAGAAACTGCTCTTGAGTTCCTGGAGAGAGAAAAAGAGAAGGTTTGCACTTGTATTGCCTATTTTTTAAGCATAAGTTAAAGTTAATGTAATTTCCCTTGGCTACAAGTCTGCGACTTACATTGCAAAGTGTATTTATGTCGTGGTTCAATTTTATCCTTGGTTTAAAATTTATAAATTTTTCTATTGTTTCAAACTCATTACCCTACTTTTGTATATTACCATACTCATAAACAAAAGAAAATAAAATTTAAATCAAAGGTGAAATTGAACCACAACATATATAGTTGTGGCAGGCTGGTCAAAATTACACTGTAAATTCAGGTTAAAATTTTTTAACCTACATAATGTATGTAGATTGATTCTCAAATTCCTTTGTCTCCTTGAGATTGGACACACTCCCTTTGACTCACTAAGCAGCCATCCATCCAATTATGTACGTTTATGTGCAGTGTAAACTTTACTTAAATCACCAAAAGAATTTTTCTGACATTGTGCTTTTCTTACAGATAAAAAATGATGTAGAGGCTGAAGTGCTTTGCATGACAGCCATTGGTAATATCAAACTCCAACAAGGGAACATGGAAGAAACAAAGGTACATGTACATACAGTACATTATACTTTATACATTTAATTTTTGGTTTTGATACTTGTGAATAAATTAATAGTCTACATGTAAGTCATAATAAAATAATATTACATGTTTGCATCGTAACTTTTTGTTAAGTTTTCTCAAAGCATCTAATTATTTTGTACGCTGTGTGGCTCCCTAGGAAATGTAATTAACTCTCAGGTTTCTTCATGTACTTCATAAATAACTTCATAGCAGTTTTATTGCTGTATACAACCATTGTTCTTGGTTATTTTTATTTTTTTTATTTTTTTTTTTCGTAAGTGAAGTTAATGAAACTCAGAAAACTCAAGTTAGTTCATCTAAGGTTATCACCAAAAGAAATGATATTTTGTGGTACTGGTACAATGTAGCTCATACACTGTAAATGTTTTGTGGGTGTGTGTAGTCCTGTTCAAAACCACGTTCTTAACAAATAAGACGACTTGGATCAAATCAGTCTACTTCATCTCCTATTAAAACTTAACACAACTTTGTCTTTCTCACTTTTGCATGAACACACAAAGCTAATCTTAATTACACATTGCAAACATGAGCATACATGTACATGTACACTCTACAATGTCAAAGTATCTGTACTAATCCTGAATCCATCCTCTCTTGTTACATGTACAACCTAACACTCTTTTGTTTGTAGACAATAGTGGAGCAAGCCAGAGCTGTACTAGAAACCATTGATGGAGTAACTACAGTCCATGGCAGGTTTTATGAACTGTGCAGTAACTATCACAAAGTAAGTACATTGATGGGTTAATGCTTATTGTTTATACAGAGTAGTTATCTGGTCTTTTTTACTGCCAGTACTTCAACTGTCGTATGTTTTGGGGTTCATTTTTTGTTGTTGTTTTAAATGTTTCAAACAGGTTTAATTTTATTTCTTATTCTTAGATTTTGGCAAATGAGTTAAGTTTGTGGCTCACATTGTGTAGAATACAGGTGATATCAGGACATGCTGTCAACTAAAAGTGAAATGTCAGATTACAAATCCTTGTGCCATGGCAATAAATTTATTACTGTGATTTTTCAAAAACTTTAACTCATAATTTCAAAAGCCATTAGGCATTATGAAATTTGAAACAATCATAAAATGTCATGGTCACAAGGTATTTATGCCAAATATCACAGAAATCATGCTAAAATTTGATTATACTAATACACCAATCAAGGGTTGTAAACCATGACCTTTTCAACCCATTAAAATAAAGTTTTGTTTCTAAAGAGAATCAAATTGCAGAAATTTCTCATGCAGTAGTATAAAGTGTGAAATGTCAGATTACAAATCCTTGTACCATGGCCAATTCACTTTATTAATGCAGTTTTAAAATCCGTACTGCTCCATAATTTCATTAGAAACTGACCCATGTACATTGTGCCCTTTATCTTTTGTTAGATTACTGGCTCATATAATGACTACTACAGAGATGCTCTTAGGTTCCTGGGCTGTGTAGATATAAAGACCATGCCAGGTTAGTTGTACAACATGACTTGTTAGTTTACTTTAATGTGAACAGTCATTAAGTGGTAGGTGGATTTTGCAGTTAAGTAAAGGAAACTGAGTTTAATAGTCTACAGTGTACGTGTAGTTCCAGGAAGGGTCGTTAATATAGAGGGCAAACAGAAATGAATTTGATTTACTCAGATCTCTAACTCTAATCAATAAACTTCACGGTCATTCAATGTTTGGCAGCCATTCTGCATTCTGCAAAGAACTCCTTCCAGGGGTTAAGGGGGGAAGGGGGTGTACTTGTCCATTTGAAAAAGCTGACAAATTAAAAGGGCCATACATGTAGAGTGTTCACGTGGAAATGTATCTTGATAAGCAACTAATTAAATGAAAAGCTTAGGGCACTGCATGGTGTCAATCTTAACCAGTTGTGTCTGGCTAAATGTGCAGACATAAAAAAATGAATAGACTGCACAAAACAGTAAGGGGGTAAACTTGTTACATGTATAATGTTAAGACCCGCAAGTTTCAAAACCATTTTTTGTAGTTGGATTTGTTAAATAAAATTCATTGTAGAGAAGTATGATTATGTCTAACTTTGGGGTTTTGTCCTATTAATACATAATACTATATGAAAAATCTACAGTAAACATTCAAATGATATTTTTTTTATGACTATTGACCTACATGATAAGGTCACTAGAAGGTTACTGAAGGTTACTCACTCAGAGCAGTAGCACAGGCCTACCAATGCCCTTTTTTGTTACCATTTACGGTAGTCAGCAAAATGCTGCTTGCCTGTCTGACAAAGTATGCTATCCTTACAGGTTGTTTCACTAACCCCAGGCTATTAAACAATCCTTTTGTCTCCCCCTTTACATTGCCTTACATTACAATGTTTGTACAGGAGTTGGTTATGCCTGAATATGAAACTTGTAACACATTCATTGTATTGTTTTGTACGTGAACTCCCTTGACATACAGTAGGAGGTTGTTGTGGTTTTCATTGTAAAGATGAGTAATGAAAAATGACTGTTTATTGTAGCTTTTCTGGTTTATTTATCAGTTGCTGAAAAAGTTGATAAAGCCCTTCACCTATCACTGGCAGCTTTACTAGGGAATGACATTTATAACTTTGGAGAGCTGGTAGGTTGCACCATGAACATGCATGCACTGACGCTGTAGCGATAATAGCTTTTACTACTCTATGTGTACTGTCTTGTACATTTTATAATGGTTAGAAAACTATTATGCAAGTAAATACATTAAAAAAAACGTCCATGTTCAATAAGTATCATTTGTTTGTTTCTCAGTTAGCACATCCTGTCCTGGAGTCCCTCAAAGGAACACCACATGGGTGGCTAATTGAATTACTCTATGCTTTCAACAGTGGTATGTTTTACCCATTTAATACAATGTATAGCAGTAGCTCGTATATGTACACTGTATTTCAAATAGTTTGCACAATGCAGCTCTTCAGCTGTCCTCATGACAGCTTGGCAATAACAATAATTATTGAAAATATTTCAGCTTAATAAATGTACATACCTACTAAACTGCACTGATATAATCATGAATCACTGCTAGGTCTTAAATATTTTGTACCTGTACTTATTTGGGTTAATTTTTTCTTTGGTTTAAATTTTATTTTGCTTTGTTTATTGATTTAGTAATGTTGAGTATTTGATGGTGCATAATTTGCGTAGAAAAAGTGAAGATGAAATTTAAAGTAGAAATTAAGTTGAACCACAACACACTGTACATGTAATATACATTGACAGCGAAAAGTAAAATTATTGCTGGGACAGGGATTGAAAAGTTAGGGATATACTTTCCATTGCAGTCTGTGCCATCACTTTGTACATGATACTAAGCTTACTGCTTGCTCCCAGATTAAACATTGTATTGAAATATTTGTCAGAAGGGAGAGGGAATGGAAGGAAAATGTTAAATATTTTTTAAAATTTTATTTGTTAAGGTCAGGGAAACTTTAAGAATAATCAGGGATTTTGTATTCTGGTGTGTCTTGTTGCTAGTTACATGTACATGCACTCATCTTAACCATTCTTCCACAGGTGACTTAAGTAAATTTGAACAGCTCAAACGTCATTGGCAGAAACAGGTAATTTAGACGTCAAATACTACTACAATTTCTAGATAAATGCTTTTTTGTCTGTTGTACAGTGTGTAGCAATACACATACCAAAATACCAGAATCGTTTTCAAGTGGATTGAACAATTGTTTTGTCAACCTAAAATATACCTGCTCCACTTTGCATTAAAATTTTTCAGTCGGTCCACTTGGACAAGCATCAACTTTAAATGCTCATCAGCTCCTCAGCTATCATTGCAAACCTTGAAAGAATTACACTGAACACTGAACATTGTTATTTTAACTTCTTATCCTATTTACAGCAAAGATTCATAATTATGAGTACAATAAAACAATAGAACAATTAACAAACAGGTAATTAAGAACAGAAGCTTAAATATTAAGTTAGGCAAGAAGTTTGAACTATCCAAAATGCTGTGAGGCTGATGAAGTGGATAGGCCAGACTATTTACAATTTCAAAAAGCTCAAAGAAATAATTCCTTTCATTACGATACAAAAGATGGCTTCCTACAGTTTGAAGTTATATTAATATTGCATATTGTTGAGCAGACTGGCACTGTTGTAGTACTGAAAATTACCATATTTTCTCTTCGACAGGCTGACTTAAACCGCAACTACAAGAGCCTGAGACAGAAGATTAGTCTGCTCTGTTTGATGGAGGTCTGTTAATTTTTATTCTGTTATTATTGTTGCTGTTCCTTTTGCATTGATACACATACATAGAAGAGAGGTGTCTGTTCAGAAACGATGTTTTGCAGGGTTTCAAAGAGAAGCAAGAGCATCTTCAAATACCCTTGAAATGACATTTATATATCATCAATTTTACTCTGTTTCTACCTGATCACTGGTGACTGTATCAAGTCAACGCTATACATTCTGGTTTTGTTGTTTCCCTTACAAATGCCGAGCTAAAATTGTTAGAACTGTCTCTCTTACAGCTTAACTCATCATTGAATGTCTTTTTGCTTGCTTGTTTGTTTTTTTTGTTTTTCACAGTTGACGTTTAAAAGGCCATCCAATGACAGAAACCTGACATTTGAAATGATAGCAAAAGAAGCCCAGCTGCCCCTTGAAGAGGTAAAATAATAGTCAAATGTTTACAGGGCTGTCACTAAGATTTAGGTTTCTTTAATTAGGGACAAAAGTACAGCTGTAGATGACACATTTGTCTTAAACGTGCGCTTTTGTCAACGATTTCATTCATTTATCATTTAAGTCAGCTTAAACGCTTAATCCTTATTGCACGCGTATACTGCAGTCACCAAGCTTCACAGACTCGTTCAAGAGTTCTTCTAGTTTAATATAAGTTGTCTACTACACTTACAAATTATAAATACATCGTGCAGATAAATGTACATATACATGTCAATCAATTCGTCATATTTTTTATATCTATATTGGCGTAAAACTTTCTTCCATTTATAGGAACATATGATTTGTACAGTATTGTGTATGTTTGTTTGGCCTCTTTTAGCCCTGATTTTATTGTAACTTTCCTTTTTCCAACCCCAGGTTGAACTTCTTGTGATGAAAGCTTTATCACTTGGTTTAGTAAAAGGTAAAAAGTTGTGATAAACATACCATGTACCTACATAGAATGTATTCAAGGAGTAGCAGTATAAAAATATAGTTTCATTTTTTCACTTCGTAAAAAAGATTTGATCACGATATCACTCTTTGAATTCTGAAATAAGATTATAAGTGTGTACGTTTTCCACAGTAATATAATTATTTTGTAATTTGTTATACCCAACAATTTACCTTCTCTTTTCTGAGGCCCGTTCACTTTACCTAAGAAATCAAAACGCCCTTTTTAAAAGTCAAGGGACGTTAATTTTGAAAACTTAAACTTTATTTGAAATATTACAGAGAAACAATTTGCCAAACAAAACGTGCGATTTTTGAAAGCTAAATTTCGGTTGAGAATCAAAATCTCTTTTGGAAATAAAAATTTTACCTAAGACATCCATAGCAAACACAAAACTTTATTTGAAAAATCGAAAATGTCTGTTGAGAATCAAAATACAATCTTTGAAATCAATATTGTATTTATGAAATCAATAGGAAAACTTTATTCGAGAGACTGGAAATCTCAGTTAAGAAGCCAAATCCCTTCTGGGACATAAAAAAACATGTTCAGTTACGAAATGAAAATCAGAATTTTTGTGCGAAGTCCAACTCCAGTTTTGAAAAATGAGAGCTTCCTTTATGAAATCAAGAGATATATTTTAAAAATGAAAACTTTATTAGAGAAATCGAAAGTTTTAGTTTTCACCAAATCAGGCAGTGAATAGCAATTTTCGCGCGTTTTGATTGGCTCCCGTAACTCGGAATATCCTTGGATTTTCACTGTTTTGGAACCGGATTGAAAATGGCTTCTCGTTTTGCGACAGTTCCGAAAGATGAAATTTTAGCGGTAAATGAAGCAGCTGCGCCAACAGATACCAATAAGAGACAAAATTTGGCTTCTTGGTGTTTACTGGTCGGTAGGAGAAAAATTTGACTGAATTTGCAACAGTCATGAAAAAATGATCCCGGAACCTTGTCAATTGAGACGTAAACAAACTGTTACAAAGTGACCTCTTTTATTAAGAAAAAAGTTCCTTTCTGATTTTTATCTAACTGATTTGGAAAATACTAAGACCTCGATCTCCCTCAGGGTCGGTTCATAGCGCCAATATATCCACCACTATTCACCTCCCCTTTGGGGGATAGTTGTATATTATTCATCTCCCCTTCAGGGGATAGTTGTATACTATTCACCTCCCCTTCGCGGGATAGTTGTATACTCTTCACCTCCCCTTCCGGGGATAGTTGTATATTATTCACCTCCCCTTCCGGGGACAGTTGTATATTATTCACCTACCTTCCCTCCGGGGGATAGTTGTATATTATTCACCTCCCCTTTGGGGGATAGTTTTATACTATTCACATTTACAGATGTGTAATTTGTCCTCAGGCTCCATTGATGAAGTGGAGCAGATGGTTCACATGACTTGGGTTCAACCAAGAGTATTGGACTTGACCCAGGTAAATATTGTCACATTACACTTTAATCAGACTCACTGGTGCATTTATGAAAAATAACTGGACTTCTTTATTTTCAGTGATCTCTATCGCGATAGCTGACCTTCCTCAGTTCTGCAAAGAAATTGTTGCGGTTTGGTGGGGGAAATATTGTCTAAATGGTTCGCCTCTTACCTCCCTTTTACCAAATACAATGTATATCCCTGGGGGAAGGGGTGTGGCAAGATTATAATGTACCCGTCTCAAGAGAGGGGAAATGAAAATCGCGGCTTTTAGCTTATAAGTATGCGTATCCATTGAAGTAGGTAGCCCATTTCTTATGACTTTCATATGCTAAGAGTGGATTTCAAAAACAGAGGCGCTGTTCGAGAAATGAGCCCGCGCCTTTGCGGCGGAAATCAAGCGCACTTTGAAAAAGAGGATAAGCCACAGCCTGTCGCAGCAGCGAATTCGTGCGTTTTGAAGCGTTCTTCTTTCTGGTAACCAAATGCGTCATTATTCAAAAGAAGGTGAGAAAGGGTTATGGACTGAATAAGTAGGTGTTCATACTGTTCTTGGTCTGTCTGTTATCTGTAGATTGGCCATATGAGAGACCGTTTGTCAGAGTGGTGTGAGAAAGTCAAGACCCAAGTCTATTCTGTTGAAGACCAAGGTCCTGAGCTGCTCGTGTAAATTTGTTACTTCTCTACTTCATTTGTAATAAAGAAGATATTAATAATAAACTTTAATTGCCGAGAAATGTCTTAGTATGTTTTCTAGAGTTAGAATTAACCGTCCTTTCATTGAATATCTAAGTCTGATGTAAACACTCATTTAAGCTTCATGTTCCCTTAGGTAGCAATTATTGAGTCAGTTATTGCTATTGGCGGGACCCGGGCTTCTTTTTCTGGTATTCTAAAGCATTTTCTCGGATAATTTTCTCTGTTATTTTTAGAGCTTCCAATCGTCAACTTGTACACGAAAAGAATTAAAAGTGAAATGCTTTTGAAGCTTTCAAATCTGAATCCAAATGTCGCACTAACCCTGGGTTATCTTAACCCAGCCTTGAACAACTCGGCCCTGTTTGCTGGGATACCAAATAATGACAATTCCAGTTTGGGATGAATTTGGCCACAAGAGTGGCCGTTCATGTGATCTAAGCATATAAAGCTAGGACAATCCGGATACATAAGAAGATTATCTATAGTTTTCTAACTTTGTTATTGCAGTGAGCAGGTCTAGAGGCTTTGTGCCTCGCCTTCATGTCTTAAAAATACACATTTTACGTCGCGGATGGAGGGAACCCCCCTTTACTGGCAGCTGGAGAAATGAAGTATTAATCAGTCACATTTACTTCTTTCACAATTTTTTTCGTTTGTGTGTTGTTTTTTCTAATTTCCTCAGGTGGAATCTAAGTATCCAAAACGCTCTGTTAATTTATTAGTGACCCTTGGTTATTCTGAGGCCAGGGTATGATAGTTCAAAAAAACAACAAAATTCACTGAAAAGCAAATTAAATGCACTCTTTGTTCGATAAACAAAAAAAAGTTACACGGTGACCAATACAATCGGTCTTCATGAGGGACTTTTTTGAGATACCGTTTACGATTTTTGTTCAAGAAACCTGGCTTTCCCTTCCCACTCCCCCTCCCCTCTGCCCCCTTCCAAGAAACTTGTTGCTATTGGCCAGACTGCTGGAAAGAAATAAATAAAGCAAGGAAGCTTTTGTCGGGGAGGGGAGGAGAGGGTCAGCATCGTTATCCTCCCCCGAAACATACCAATTCAGCGAAAGAAGTTCACTGATTTTGTCTCCGATAGCAATTAACCTGGTCGTTAGGAAGGGGTGAAAAATATGTTAGTGTTAAGTCTCTACATACTACTTTCTCGTAAAGTTCAGTTATTGTCTAGAGTGAACGTAGTTTAGAAACAGAGTCCGGAATTAGTCTGATCTTCTCCCACGCAACTGTATTTTGATATTTCATTGAAATGACCGGTGACTCAAGCAACTGTTGACATGAAACTAGAACGCTCCTGGCACTTCATTGCAGGTCCCACTATAAACATCCTCTTTTAAAGCACGTAACATAAAACCAAAGCAAAACAATTTTACCTGTGACACAAAAGAAACGTTTCCTCGCCACCAATTCGATGCAGAGAGGAAAGAGAAAGAAATACCCTCTTTAAGCAAAAAAGATTTGAGCAATTTTTAAAACTAAGCCGGTAAAAGAGAAGACTACAAATTTTTGGAGAAGAGGAATAAAGAGGGCTTGTCATCCAACGAAAAATGTAAGAGATTTGTTTACAAAACCTTGCCATTTGTTCTTTAACATTCCATCTCTTGAAAGTAAAAAGTAATGTTTTAATTCACTTTTCGGGAGATTCAGTGATCGTCTGAGTGCATATAGTTATGACTAAGTTAAGGTGTTCGATCTACCACAGGGATATTATTTAACGTTGTTAATCACTACAGTGGATTTATCAGATTAGACATCAACGGGACCGGTTGTACGTTGTTAATTTAGTAGAGTTCCCATTAAGACCAAATCATTGTCGGCCGATCAGGAGATCAGAATGCTCTCAAGGGTATTCCAAGGTACTGCCATGAGTATTTCCTGGAAATTCGTAACCAAGTTCTTCGAAAATGTACTCGTACGTTTAGGTACTGCTTCGATTTGCGAGATACCCTGTAGTATCTTGGAGTCCAGAAAGGGTTATGAGGGGTAGTTCAGGGGTATGGTTGCTAAGGGGCAGTGCTGTTTTTCTCCGTCCTTTCCCTCTCTGACTCCGATTTCCGATTCTGCTTTTCATTTAGTTTCTGATTTTTCTGTTCTTTTTGTTTGTTTTCTCCTTTTCGGATGTTCAGACCTTACCACTTACAGCAGCTGAATATGTAAAAAGGCCTAAGTGGAGGTCTGTCTTGTAGTTCAGCCTCTTTTATTATCATTTTGGTTCGATTGCACCCGAAGTTCTTGTTGCGAATTGAGTATTTTTTTTTCCGTTTCATTTTTAGCGATGTAGACTTGAATCCCATCATGCACTCATCAGTTTGGTGCGTTGTTCTGACTGTTCTACTTTTACTGCTCATAACACAAGATGGTGATGGTAAGCTATCTATCTTCTGCTGTCAGAATTTGAACAGTTTTAGCAGGCTAGCCAGCCCCTACAAGTTCTCAGGTCGAACATGTTCTTTCTCAAACCTGTACCCTACAATAATCCGTGACGTCACATGAGCGAGATTTGCCTGGAACGCCGTTCTTGTCCCCAGGGTCTTCCGTCCCAGACGTCGAGCGCACAACGGGACAAGAGAGGACGCCTGGCAGCCAGGCCTGCAGTCTTAGTATTTTGAATTGTTCAAATCAAAGTAACATAAAAAAGTTACATTTTTGAATATCTAGTGAAAAAAAGGCCTCGCTTAATTCTCACCATCAAAGTCATTTCATTTTAGTATGAAAGCAACATGAAACACTCACGGCAGTGTCTCGTTATGATATATCAATAGCCTTTATGTTTCCTCAAAAATACCCTTCTAGGGGTTTGCTATGAAACACAGTCTCGCGCGTGTGTGATATACTGTGTCAGAGAATAAATAGTTGAAAATTTATTTTTCATAATTTCACCATCCGCAGAGCTTAAGCAAATATATTTTACTGCATTATTTTTTAGATCATATTACATAATGCCCTTTATAGACCGGGGTACCATGGGCGTGTCTTATCATAAAGAACACATTGTTCCACCACGCACGCAAGACGGTTTCATACTGGAATCTAAAAAGGAAAGAGATAAATTCGGTACTCATGTTTTCTCGGATTAAGTTGTTATTATTCATATATAAATCATCGCGTTCATTCCCATTTCACGGAAAAAACAGTATAATGAGGATTTGGAGAACTGAAAGTTTTGTGGCCAATCATTACCCTTCCTCGAGGGTCCCCAATAGGTTTTTCGGGACCCAGAATTTCCCTTATTGCAAGCTCGGTGGGATTCGGGATTTTAAAGCAAAATTTGGGCCGAGGTTCGGGGTTGAAAGTATGCTCGTGAGGTGGGATGCCAAAAATAACCGTCTGGATACGGGATTGCACGAAATTTGGGGTCCGAATGACGGGATTGAAAAACCCTATTGGTGACCATCTTCCTCTCGTTCATTTCTTTCTTGTTCTATTTCATTATTTAGGGAACCCAGGAGAAGAAGATAAAGATTCTTCTGAGGATGACACAGACCAAGAACCACAAAGGGTGATAAACTATTTTTGCTTTTCCTGCCAATTCTAATTGTTCCTTTATTGTCAGGTCGGAGGACATAAAATATTCTTATAGACAAAGTAGTTTACCTACCTGCTGCACACTTGTCGTTAATCTTTGAATTTTGTTCATCTTGCTAACTTGTCTGCAAGAGATCGAGAGAAAAAAGGAAAAAGTTAAAGCGAGTAGACACCGCCATCTAATGATTCCACCAGCCTTGGGTGCAGTGATTTCTTGGGTCGTAATTACTGGTCGAAGGTATCCAAGGCAACCATTAACCAATCATATAAGTAAAGCTTGTCCCCTCAAACTATCCCAGAAATAGACCAATTTCGATATCTTAAAATTGCTGTGACCAAAGGTGATGTCTTTGTTTGTTATTTTTTCTGTTGTTGTTATTGTTTTTCCTCTTGCCTCGCAGCCAAGTATGAATCAAACTTATCGAAACAGATCTTATTGTTGCATCGAAAGCTTGTACCCATTTAAGGTGGCTCGATACAGTTTTTCAGGGCCAATACCTCCAAAGTTTGAGCATAAACTACGTCGCCATAAACAAAGTTTTGGAAAAATTGCCACCACTGTTGTATTAGATAAAGATGAAAATTTGTTATGATCAGGGTTGCAACGGCATCGGAGTTGTCATAGCAACGAAATGATGCTATTACCTATTTTACTTACAGCAGTATATCTCGGCACTGGGAACTGTTCTTCCAAAATCGTTCACGGGAGCTTTTTTCTCCAATAGCGGCCTCGATGTTCGTGAAGTTTAAGCGAAATCTGTAAGAGCGTTATCGAGATATTTTGGGATGAAGTTTTTGTGGTTAGAAACACAGTAAAAAATGGACAATATTGTTGTTTGGCCGTTATCTGTAGAAAATGAAGCGCTTTTTACATGCAATTTCACTTCATAGTAGTTTCAATCTTTTTAAAAACGTGTGTGAAAGATCATGGAGATAGCTCCAGCCGATTGCTAGAAAGAAGGGTTTTATTAGCATGTATCGAAGCGCTCTTCTTAGTATTTTTGTAAAGATTTTGGTCTTCTTTAACAAATTAGCGAATAGTTTTTAAACCGCTCGATAGAGTTTTTTTAAAATTTAAGATTCTTGAGATTAACCTGTCTTTTATATGACCTTTTAGTTTCAAGATTATTGATACATTGTAAGGCAGTAAAATAAGGGCTACAATTCGTTACTTTTTTATCGGAAGTTTCGTTATTAGAAGTGAAAGCCTCTCATTATTCAAGGCATTGTATGCAAGTTTCATTTTCACGTGAAGAACAGTAACTAACATGCATTTGACATATGCAAAAATGCTAGCTATTGTTATGCGCGAAAATATGAAACTTGGATACAATACCCTGAATAATGAGAGGCTCACATTTGTAAACACAAAATTTCTGCCAAAATATTGGCGAATTGTAGCCCTTCTTTTACTTCCTTACAATATATCAA